TCCTCTTTTCAACCAATTCACTACAATTGCAAGCTTTTTGTGATTTTGATTAGGCAAGTTGTCCAACTACAAGAAGGTCTACAACAAGCTATATCACCTTCATTGGCACATTCCCAATTTCATGGAAAACAAAGAAGCAGTCCACTGTATCTTGATCATCTATGGAAACTAAGTATAGGGCCATGGCCTCCACAGTTAAGTGAACTCCTATGGTTCAAAGGCTTGTTACACACCTTAGGAGTCTACCATTCTCAAACAAAGAAGCCTCTTTATTAATTATATGGAGATATGACATATTTTCTCTTATAATTTTATATTTTCTCACATAGGAAAAGATTATCACTAAATTTCTAACTTCATTGGCCAATCATCTTCCTAATCAAAAGTTGTCCAACTTAGTAAAAAATTAAGTTGTACACCACTCAAAATTTTTAAAATATCAAGGGAATTTAAAAGTTGACACTTTTTTTTTTTTAACTTAAAAATATAATAACCATATCAACAATTCTAAATACATGGAATTCAAAGAAGATGAGTTTTTCAAAATTATGTACGGCTTCATATGTAATCGACAAAATGAGGAAGAAATGTAATTTATGAAGGGAAGAGATAAAAAAATTGCTAAAAATAGTTTAAAAATTAAAAACATTAAAAATAAAAGTTTAAAACCCTTAATAAATTACCATCAAAATATTATAATTTGATTAATTAAAAAAAATTTTGTCCTTTTCCCTTTTCTCCATTCTCCTCAACTAAAACATATGGTAAAATTCACAATTAACCTTTTTAAAACCCAAGTTCTTACCAATTTGGGCATGCTTAAAAAAATAAAAATAAAAAATTCCCTTTTTCCCCACATTCTTTGCAAATTTTCTTTCGTTTCACTATATGGGTGGACATATGCGGGTGAGTATTTTCGGGTATAGATTAGGTATGAGCTATTTTTGGTATTTGACTTGAAAATTTTTGGGTATGGCTTTTTATTGAAAATTTTTGGGTATAGCTTTCCTAGACTTAGTATTTATCCAAATACGTGAAGACCTATGGTTGATACTTAACCAAACAGGTATCAAGTAACTTCCAAGTATATACTTATATACTTGTTAAATGATATTTTGCTTTAAATTTTTATTCAAATTAAAATTTAATAAAATATTATTTACTTTCAATCTACACTTAAATAAAAATAGTAAAAATTTGATAAAATATTATTTATTATAATATAAACTTAAATGTAATCTAAAATAATAAGAGAGAATTAAAATTTGGCTTCATATCTAGAATTCAAATCTACATACTATTAAAAAATTAAACTCAATTAAATAATTAATGATAAAGAATGAAAAATACAACCAAAAAATAATGAATTAAATTAAATTAAATAACAAAATAAAAGTACTACAAAGAAGATATCCAGATTTTTAAGCTTATAATCTCCCTAATCCTTTATTTCAGTTTGTTAGAAAGGGACAGTAGTTGATGGTATTGTGTCTATTTTAATATCATGATGTCTATACTTTTGACTTACAATTCTTATCATGTTAAATGAAGGTTATAAAGGGAAGAGATAAAAAAAATTGCTAAAAATAGTTTAAAAATTAAAAACTTTTAAAAATGAAAGTTTAAAACCCTTAATGGATTACCATCAAAACATTATAATTTGATTAATTAAAATATTTTTCTCTCCTTTCCCCTTTTCTCCATTCTCCTCAACTAGAACATATGGTAAAATCCACAATTAACCTTTTTAAAACCCAAGTTCTTACTAATTCGGGCATGCTTAAAAGAAAAAAGAAAAAAGAAAAAAACGGACACTCCCCATTTCCCCACATTCTTTGCAATTTTTCTTTCCCTTCATTGTATGGATGGACATATGGGCGTGAGTATTTTCAAGTATAGGTTAGATATGAGCTATTTTTGGTATTTGACTAAAAAAATTTTGGATATGGCTTTTTATTGAAAATTTTTGGATATAGCTTTTTTAAACTTAGTACTTACTCAAATTCTTAAAGACCTATGGTTGATACTTAACCAAATAGGTATCAAGTAACTTGCAAGTATATACTTATATATTTGTTTAATGATATTTTGTTTTAATTTTTTTTTCAAATTAAAATTTAATAAAATATTATTTACTTTCAATCTGCACTTAAATAAAAATAGTAAACATTTAATAAAATATTATTTACTTTCAATCTACATTTAAATAAAAATAGTAAAAATTTCGTAAAATATTATGTATTATCGTATAAACTTAAATATAATCTAAAATAATAAGAGAGAATTAAAATTTGATTTCATATCTAGAATTCAAATTTACATACTATTAAAAAACTAAACTCAGTTAAATGGTCAATAATAAAGAATGAAAAATATGTACCAAAAAATAATAATTGAAAATAAATTAAATAACAAAATAAAAGTAATTCAAAGAAGATATCCAGATTTTTAAGTTCATAATCTCCTTAATCCTCTACTTCAGGTTGTTATAAAAGAATAATAGTTGATGATATTAAATCTATTTTAATATCATAATGTCTATGCTTTTGGCTTATGATTTTTATCATGTTAAATTTGGTGTTTAAACCTAAAAAATCATCTATACAATAAACAAACACTATGCCTTGAAAATCACTAAATAAAAAGTAAAAAAAAAAAAATCTAAAAAGAATTAAAATTTGAAATTATATGTATTTACTATTGCCTAAGAGTGTAAGAAAGGAAAAAGTTGTTGGTTGT